CCCAAGAACAATATTGAAAAGTGTCCCATATTGTGAGAGTTAAGTAGCTCAGCTTCTTCAGTGCTGGACTGACAACCACAGCCTGATTAATTTTATTACACGATTCTTGTAGTGGAGGCAAGTCCCACTTTGACCCCTTCCAGAGGGCTGGCTTATTGAATAAGGACTGATTCTGTTTGAATAAGGAGATCTGCCTCGTTGACACTGTAAACAGTAAGCAGCTTCTGGTTTTAATAAAATTTTAATCATATCGAGTAACATTTCATTCCAAAATGATTCCAACTATTTCAATTCACACATGTAATGATCTACTTAATACAACTCCAATTATTTTAATATATCCCAGTTTCTTAATTCATGTTGAAAAAACAGGGCAACCCACCACATAGATGATGCGCTAATCAAAACCTGGGAATAAGAAATTCAATTCAATCAGTTTCTATCACCCTTGGTGTCACCAGTTTTTCCACAGAAGATCTCTTACCTGTGCAGTAATCATTTATATTAAGGATGTTGTAAAATAGCCTATAAGAAACAGTTTCTCTCTCCCTAATGCTGGATCAAAAAGGACCTCTTAGTGTAGAGGAAAAATGTTATCAATGTAAGGGCAGGTCTAAGATTCTTAATTTGAATAATTAAAACAATTTTGTATTTATAAAAGCATTTCTAGCAAGTAGTGACTTTATGGTGTGATTGTTACTCAAATCAGCCCTATTGTTAGGATTAAAATGCAAATTATGTGCTCTTTTTGTTCAGATGTTTTAGCGTTCAAGGAGAAAATTTGTTTCATAATGAACAGCAGTTTTAACTATTGTCTGATCACCATTGTCTCATGCCATCAACAGTTGGAAGTCATGAATATATACTCCTATCTGGAGAATTTTTTTTTTTTTCACATATTGATATGAAGATAAGTTTTAGTTAGAGAAACACTTCTTAATTGGATATAATTAAGGATTTGTGGTTTTCATGGCAATTGTAGCTGGAAACCATTTAGACTAAAATCTTCAGAAAAACTGATTGGTAGAGAATCTAGATTTTGGGGGGGCTTTGTTTCCTAAATTGAAGTTTACTTTAAATGGTGGGTTTCAGGTCTGAGTTTGAGTCTGGTTATTGAAGCTTACACAGCTTCACAAAAATACTTTCTTTGTCAGTGCAAGATTGGTTTTTGGAGTGTGAAAAAATAGAGACAACAGTAAGATGATTGAAACAGAACTTCTCATATCCCATAGAAGGAATCTATTTCATGTTACTTCAACCATCATTTTTATATTCACCATACAGCAAGGAGATGTGTCATACCTAACCAGTTTCTTCCTAGTTGCATTGCAAAAGCAATGTAGAGCAGTCCCTTTTCTATATGATAATGAAGCTAGACAACCAAATTACTTAACCTTGTAACTCCGAGCAAAAAGAGTCTACCATACCTGTCAAACTATATTTGTAAGTGAGCTAATTGACTCAAACCCAGCAGAATTCCAGAAAGTGAAGATGGCAGCTACTGAAGATATTCAATAGTGCATTAGAGGAATGGATTTTATTCATAGTATCAGTGTAATAACTTTCAAACAATTTTAGAAAGCCATTCAGTAAAATCCAGACTTGCTAACAACACTAGCCTCTTGAAAGCAATGGAAGCTTTGCCAACCTTGTGTTTAAAGCTGTCACCAAAAATCTTATTTATTTGAAAAATATTTATATTTTCTTAATAGAAATCGAAGCTATTCATTCAAATTTTACTATTCAATAAAAGTGTATCTTATGTTGCATGAATATTGTGTGCTTTCTTAGTCTGAGCCCAAAATTTCAAAGAAATCAATTTCTTACCTCAGCTCTATTCATCATGAAAAAATATAAATTCTGCCTTTTATGAAGCTGTCATGGTTCCTGAGAAATATGAGACCCTAGGGCCCACTACTCCATTTAAAACATTCTTCATGTTCATATCATCTTTTTTTTTTAACATTCCTTTTGCTTGTTTGATGACTTTTATTCTTCCTCCTCTCATTTAATGAAATTCAATATTATGTCCCTATTCTGTTCCTTTTAAAGACAACCTAATATAAGATACTAAAAAGCAGAGGTTTAGTATTTTTATTTTGAAAGAGAATATAGTCGCGTTTATCACATTGTCTACATTCTTGATTTTCCTCTTGTGTATTTTTTGTTTTCTTGCGTATGCTCTGAAAGATGTAGGGCATCCAGAGAATCGCAAAAGAACCAAAGCTATGTAAGACATGACTCTCAAAACATATTTATGTCCTTAAAGATGCAGATAAATACACACTGGGTTTTTAAAAATACATAGAGGCACTTAATTGTTGGCATTTAACTAGGCTTCACCTAGCAGTCCTCGTATTCTGAAATGTCTGAAGTTGTGCTTTTTGGGGTTCTGATGAATTAATATTGTTTATGTTTAAATGCTGCTTTTCTTAATTATTTTTATTTTAAAATCTACTCTTTTCCTGGCTCATTCTCTCAGGATTGTGCTTGTGCCCAGGCTTACCATGACTAGATCCTTCTTCTCTAAAAAGTCAAACTGCAGTCTGTCGGTGGTACCTGCGCAGCAGGAGGTGGGGTGGCAGAGTTGTGTTCTCAAGGGTGTATATGGACAAACAAGTGTAGGCAGTTTCTCAAGATGCTCCAACTGGTGAAATAACTAATGTAGTTCAGAACATGAGAATTCATCACTCTGGTGGTTTGGATTCTGAGGTGTTTTGCTGTTGGAGATTTTTTTTTTTTACCAAACTTTTTATTTTCCCAGGTTGAGGAATTCATACCAGCTGCCAGTGGGATTGGTGTCACCTAACTCTAGTTATCTTAAAGTTAAGTGCCCATTTTCAGCTAATTGTCTAGACACTCTCTATTGTCAATGAAGAAATAGAGGTACTTCAAGGGTGTGATTCATCCCACCCTAAAATAGATGTCTAAGCTGGGATGAATTGGAAGTAGCTGTCTTCCTCCAACAAATAGTAGGAGAGCACTGACAACCGGTTAGACAAAAAGCGGCTGAAGATGGGAGAGAGGCTTGCCCTCTGAGTTGTTGATATATCTCTTATCTCTCTCTGTTGTTTCTTTGATCTGGGAGAGTAACATTTTTCAGTATTTGCCAAATCGGGCAAACATGTTAAATAGATGTTAACATCAAATCCATCAGGTTCAGGAGGACATAGAACATAATGTATACAGTTTCAAAATCCATCAGGTTCAGGAGGACATAAAACAGAACATAATGTATACAGTTTCTCTGAACCTGTGCATAGACAGTCTGTGCTTTGTTTTGATTTGTCAAATGGCAGCTTAAAGAGCAAAAGCTGATGTGTAAAGCATTGCACACGTATTTCAGGTTGGGACCAGCCTAGAAATCAGCATCCACCCACGGTGAAGACTCCACTGTAAACACGTCACAGTGACACTTCAGAGATTTCCTGTCACTTTCTCTTTTCTTTTCTGAAAAGTGAATATTCTAGCTGAAAAACAAATCAAGCACGCAATGAGTGTATCATATATCTCAAAAGTAACTTGAATGGAAAGCATTTCAAGCTGGCAGAAATATTAGACAAGTGTAATACCATCTGAGTGGTTTTCCGAACAAAATTCGGAATAAATATCCATTAGAACATTAATGAAGGTTGAAACTTTTCTCAACAGAGTAATCAGTAACAATTTACAGCAGAAATTTTACTCACTGATTCTTATTCCCATGTATGATGTGTGAAATGAAGGGAATATTCAATTTAACATTAAACTTAGTAAAAATGTTTGGTTTGAGTCATACTTTATAAGAGAAAAAATCAACCAAAGGCAATTCTTAAAATGTCATTTGCTTTTACAGCACACTTTCTTCTGCTGAATGCTTTTCATAATTGGATAATAATGTTTTTCAGATGATAGTGAACCCTACACTGAGAGAGTGATGGACAAAACAACCATTGCTGTGATACAGGATAATATCTCTATGAAGGTTAGCTTAACAATTTAAAGGAACAAACATGTTTATTAAGCTTGCACTGATACTGGGCTGAGGTAAGAGAAAATAACAGTCAAATTAACATTAAGGTCTGCCCACTTGTATACTTTTCTCAGATTTTGGTAAGTTTTCTCAGATTTTGGTAGCAATGTAAATATGCCAGTGGGCAAATTTACCCTGTTTCTGTGATATGTTTTGATGCTTGAACTATAGTTTGGTTGTGTCTCTTCCCTTTCTTACTCCTGTTCAAGGGAAGAAGTATCCAAGGACAGGTGTTTCTGCTACCACCTTCTTAACTGAGTTTTCTTCATGTTTAAAAGCACTTATGCTCACTCTGCTTATATTTCCTGACACGGTCTTAAAAGTAAGAACTGTAAAATCTTAAAATCCTGTGCTTGGTATGTATGGAAATCTGTGCTGCAAGATCTCTTCTTGCTTACTGCTCGTTAAGGTGGAAAGGGATCAGTCAGCTGGTACAATCTTACACATGATGCAGTAATCTTGTCTCATCTAGTTGTTCCTTCATTTGTGCAAAACAAGACACTGTAGAGATTTCAAAATCAGAAGATTTTTCTTTTTTACTTTCATTAGGACCAGGTTTCTGTTAGCATTCTGATTTTTGTTGGTCTTAATTAAGATGATTTCTTTCTCTTACCAGACTGTGACTGTAAAGACATACACATCACGGTTATCTTTTTCATCCTCATCCTTTTAATAATTATAATAATAATTAAAAAAACCCTGTTGCAATTACTTTTCCATTTATTATTGTGATATATGTATTTATTTTTTTTACAAAGGAATTTGACAAGCAGGTTTCTGGCTTCCCTAATGGAGTTGAAACAATAACCTATGCATGTCATTGCACATACATAGTGAAATGAATAATTTAAATCACATACCCACACATAAATCACACACACAGAAAACAAGGCACTGTTAAGACTGTACAAGTAATAAATGACCAAGAGGTTATTGATACATTAAAAACTGAGCTCCTAATGAAAACTGCAGTGGTCACTTTAACACCCTAAAGCTGCGCATTGTTTTGGGGTTCTCTGCTTAAAAGCCCGACTGTGTCCCTCTTTCCATATGTATTGGACCCCACATTTGTAGGTGAATAAATTGCTCCGATGTTGTTGCTGGAACGAACTAAAAAGTCAGCCAAGCGTTGTGTCACACAAGTAGCGGTGTTGCATTTCCGTTTCTCTAGGTGGTGACTACTAAGGTAAAACAAAAAGAGCCAAGATTAAGTCAAATGATGAGCAACCAAGCGTGCCACTTCTAATAGGCGTTTGAGCTGCGCTAATGTGGGAGTTCTTTTACCATGTGCACAAATACAGGAACATTACAATCTTCCTACCACCTACTTTGTGCCTGAAAAAAAAAATCTTGCGCTAATCTATGCTATTATGGGTTTTAATGATGGGGATTATTTAAACGCAAAGACCTTAACAGTCATATGTCATTTCTATTGATATTCTGCATAGCAGTTTGTGACATCTAGAAAACCTGTAATGATAGTATAGGTAAGACAGTAGGTGAAAACAATGACTAAATGTTTAGCTTCACGCTGAACTTCTAAATCTATTTAGAGCTCTTGCTGATATCATGAGGATTACTAACACAATGGCAATCACTAACACTTCTTTAATTCTTTCAGAATCATATCCTGCTCTCACTGAAGTGAACAGCAATCTTCCAGTCCATGTCAAGGGGATTGAGCCCAGAGGCTCCTTCTCCCAACTGGGCCCGGTAACATGAGAGGTGGCAGGTGTTGCCCACCTCTGCTGACTTCAGTACCACTTAAGATTTTGCTTTGTCTCAGCAGAGATTTCTTCACTTCTGAAAAGCAGCCTCATCTTTATTGAAACACAAGCAACTTGGAAGTGCTGTTGTGGTAGGAGATAATAATGTGCTGGATGAGACTTTAAAGAGTGTCCATATCTGAAAAGAATCTGTATCTAACAAGAGCATTTAGTGGTCTGAACCAACAGACCTTTTACAGAACTCCATAGAGAACTTACGTAGGATGAGATTTATTGTTTCTTTTCTTTTCTTTCCTTTATTTTTTTTTTAATCATAATACAATGGTGAGCTTGAGACAGCTTGGGGTTTCAAACTTGTTTTTTACACTCTTCGTTGTTCCTTCTGAAAAAACTACTTGCTTGCTGAGATTGCTTATTAAATTACTATTAATTCTCTTGGGTTTCTTCAAGTCTATATGGCACGAGGTAGACAACAGTTTGCAGCAAGAATTTACTGAGAGTAAATAGTGACAATTTCCCAGTTTCAAATTCTGATCAATTATCAATGAGTTCATTTTCCTATTGATTGATTTAATCTGTTACCTAAAATATCATCTATTCTTTTAGAGTTATTTCTATTAATCTAAGAATCCAAATGGAATACCAGTTGTGAGAAAGATGCCTGTGTTATACTAATTCTTCACTGGCAAATAGGTAGCAATTTCTAAACAATTAATATTTTAAATATGCAATTGTATTTAAAGGAAATGGTTGGATAGATCTTGATATAACTTCTGTTGGGTTTCCATGGGTATTTTTATCGATTTAGAAAGAGTTTAGCAAACCCTTAATATATACAGTTCAAACAGAAATTCTTTATCATGGAAATTCTAATTTGTTTGTGGGGACAGAATTCTCTTTTCATTAAAAGTACAAAATCAGACCCTGACCCTCCAAGTTCAAAACTCCGGTCCTTACAGGAAGCTACTAGATTCCTAGGTGATACCTAGCCTGGCTGAGCCCATTATACCTGTTAGCTCTATGATCTGTAACCTTTCCTTAAATATGTGATTCAACGGGACAGTTCACTCAGTAAAAGATTGTAAACCAGGGCCCCAGGAAAACGGACAGGGCATAGCACACTCATAAAGGTGATGCCTTGTGTTTTGAGTATTACAGGGCTTTTTTTTTTTTTTTTTTTAAGTAGTAGCTGTAAAAATGTGGAAATTCACTCCATTACCAAAATATTTTGGAAGATAATAAAATTGTCATATAATAATGACTTTTTTTTTACTAAATTCAAAGAGAAAGGAACAGGCAACTAGAGAGAGACGTTTTTACTGAATCTATCTGTAGCAGATTTTTCATTGAAAGAAATTCTCTCAAAAGCCCGATGAGCAATTAGAATAGTTCAGTCCTGTTTAACTTTTAGTATAAATTGCAAATACTTTTTTGAAACACTATTTTATTCATAAAATAGCTACCTGAAATTGGATTTATGGATTTATACACATGAATGCATTTCAGACTAGTTAAATTCTATCAGAGCCAATTGCTTCTTTTCCTTCTTCCCATGGTTAAATTGATATTTAACTCTGTAATGAAATATTGCTTCCAGCAAATTGTTATGTCATAAAATAATTCCATTCTAGCAGAGCATTAGTGTATTAAGAAGAGTGTATATATATATACAATATATTATATACATATATATTTTCCCTTCAGGCTTGGAGATGCGACAAACTTAAACAAGAAATCTTTTTCAAAATACATTGTTCTTCTCAAGGTAATGTAGTATTTGTAGCCTTTTTAATGTATGAATGCATTATAATTGTATTGTGGTTAAATGATCTTCAACATTTGTTCCTGGATTTCACTTTCTACCCTGAATGCTTTGATTTTTATGCTTACAGAATGGCTCTATTTACAAGAAGGATATTTAAAACTCTTTTTGAGAATAAACCACAGGCACAAATAGTCTCAAGTAACAGAGTATCACTGGCACAAAGTTTACTTCATAATTTAATCCTAACTGATGTGACTAGAAGAAACAAGGAAAATCAATACCTTTTTGTCTTCACTGCTGGTTTTTCTGGCATATCTTCACTAAGTCCTGAGAGTGTATTTCTTGACACTGCTGGCAATATCCATCTTTTGGAAGTACCCTCAGATAGATCATCAGCCACAGATAGTAATCTTTAAACAACAATAACATACCCTGTGAAATTGAATAGCTCTATTTTTGCTCATATATTTCAGATATGAAAGCAAAAGCAATTCATGCAATAATCTGAACACTTTTCATCCTAAAAAGAAATAAATATGATTAGTTATTACTCACTTCTCGATAGGTGCAGCTTCCAAGCAGCTCAGAGTGACAGAAAGTGCGATGAAGAAAACTGACAGCTTTAGGTTGCACATCTTTGCTTCCAAACTTTCTGAAAAGAATAATGATTCAAAACTGAAAGCAAACCCAAATACTCTTCAGCATATCATATTACTGGTGCCCATTCTGTTCTAAATCAACAGTAACTAGTCTTTTTCCCGGGCTAGAGTAAAGAAATGATCCTGCTGTTCAGTGACACAAAGCAGTTTCAGACAGATAGCTCTCAACAGTAAATGTTCATTTTCCATCTAGTTGTTTCAATCCTTCATCTCTGGTTTGCACTTCCCGACATGTCCCAGTCTCAAATTCTGGTCCCAGGTGAATTTACCTATTTTAGCCTTTTCCTGAAAAATGCTGTTGATTAATAATGAGAAGCATAGTGATAGTGCTTTCTTGAAAGCACATCTGTTCCACTGCATCTTAAGTAAGAAACAAAGGGAAATGGTTTACCTTTTCGTGGTCAGGGAGCTACCTGAAGAAGCACGCCTGTGTTAGCAAGAAGAGTGCATGCAACAATTCCACGGTTCCATAGAGCTCTGGAGTAATCCTTTTCCCCCTTCCTGGCTGACAAGTAATACGGCTCTTATACCCTTCACACCTTTCTCAGCTCTGACATCAGGCAGCACAGAGAGACTGTCATTAATTCCCATCCCTATAGATAGAAAGTACCCCAGAGAGGAGCAGAGGCAGGTAGGTCATTATTACATTAGCACATCAGTAAATATTAACCTGGTATAGGCAGGATGCCCTCGTGAAGATACTGTAATAGCATCTTGCACATCGGATCTGTAGCCGCAATTTTACAGTTCTGATAAGATGCTGAGGTAATATTCCCTGGGGGTGTTTTCAAGGGCTAAATAAGGTAACAAAAGTTAAAAAGAAAGGCAGAGTAAATGAAATGCCAGATCACCAGTAATTGAAATATAAGAAAACAGATATCTTGGAAAAGATAGAGAAAGTTGTGGAGGTTTGTTGTAGTATACAATGATCAAAGGAGGGAAAATGTTTGAAGGGATAAAAGCTGTGTGAGGAAGAAGAAAACAGAGAAAACTATTTAAATTGACAGATAGGGTGATCATTCAGGGTAACATGACAGAAATCATATACATTTTCCAGCGATGTATAAACATGAACGAAAATTTTGTCATTATTAATGTAAAACCTTATGCTTTACTGACACTGGTAGATTCTTTGTCATGTGTGAAAATGATGTCAATTAATATTCTTAAGAAGGCAAAAACTAGGACTAAAAAGCTAGGAAATGCCAGAATAAGGGCTGCCTGTGCACATTTGTTTATCTAGTGGACACAGAATATGGTTCAGGGAAAAAATATACAGCTTTTAATAGACTAAATCCAGTGTTAATAAATTACCTGATTGTAGATTTCCAAGGATATAGATTAGAATATTTTTTTCTTGACTTCAGTGGGAATTAGGCAATTTCTACACACACATACACACACACCCCCCAGGTCTCTTAGTTACCTTTAAGTGCCCAAAAGCCTTCGGAAAACAAGTCTTTCAATTGTTTATGGAAGTTAAGATGCTGGCACAAAGCTCGGGCAAAGTTTTCTGTGTTAAGTTGTTATCATGTGCATCATCCATATTCCCACAGAACATGAATGAGTTCCTAACTGCCTCAATGCCAAGTACGTTACCCTAACTGAAAGCTTCCTTCTCTTCACTTTGGCCTCTTAAACTGGTACAGCAGCTCTTCTGCAAATAATATTCTAGGAAGTGGCAAAATGTTTGGGGGATATATTTTTTTTTTTTTTAAGGGAGTGCAGCTTCTGGATATTTTGCTCTCTGGTTTTAATGATATGATCATATACTTTTTTTTTTCTCCCCCCCCCAGGTTCCTGTCATTGTCCCCTGGATGGATAGTTCTAGTGTAAGAGGGCTAAATCTTCACCACAACAGTGTTTTCCCTGTAACATCTGAACCAAGTGTATCTCTCTAAGGAGTCTTGTGTTGTTCTTTTCACTGTAGCATTGTATCAGGAGAAGAGTGGCCACAGGACAGTGATTGTGTCCCTGTACTGGGCACTGGTTAGGCTGTACCTCGAATCCTGTGTTCAGTTTTGGGCTTCTCACTCCAAGAAGGACACAGAGATGCTGGAGTATGTCCAGGGAAGGGCAACAAAGCTGGTGAAGAGTCTGGAGAACAAGTCTTAACGAGGAGCGGCTGAGGGAGCTGGTGGTGTTCAGCCTGAAGAAAAGGAGGCTGAGGGGAGACCCGATTGCTCCCTACAATTCCCTGAAAAGAGGTTGTAGGAAGGCAGGTGCTGGTGTGTTCTCCCGGGTAACTAGTGATAGGACAAAAGGAAATGGCCTCAAGTCGCATCAGGGGAGGTTTAGGTTAGATGTTAGAAAAAACTTCTTTACTCCAGTCACCATCCCTGGAGGTGTTCAAGGAGCGTGTAGACGTGGCAGTTGAGGACATGGTCTAGTGGGTACGGTAGCGCTGGTTGGTGGTTGGACTGGATGATCTTACAGGTCTTTTCCAACCGTAGTGATTCTGCAATTTCACTAGAATGAAATCCCATTCTAGTATTATTATCACTCCTCTGAAAAGGAGGCATGATTAGACCCATTTTACGGAGATAGAACTGTGCTAAAAAAGCAGTTATGCAAATGATCTGGCTGGTGATTGACACCAACCAATATTCACTGTTCGAATATTAAACTTGAAAATGCCTTGGTGCACTTTTTTTCGGGTGGGAAGAGATCCAGGTCCCACTGACACTTGGTGGTGGTGTGTATGCTCAGCTTTTGTGAAAAGGCAAGCTCATGTTGTTTCGACTCCTGAAAAGCAATGGATAGACCAGATGGAGTTTGCACCTGAGATTTTAAAGGACTGGACTGAATATTCAGAACCTGTTACGTTTTAAGGCACCTAAGTGAATGATTGTTGTGTTAAGCTTGTATCAAGCTATGGGTTGACAGAAGAAAAGTGAAACAGGCTTTTCAAAGACCTACTGGTCCCAAATCCTAATTCCAGATGTTCTGCAAGTGGCCTTGTAAAGCCTCTAATGCTTTGAGGGAAGAAGAGGAAGGCCAATTCTTGAGTGCATTGTAGAAATGAAACTGGGCTCATGCTGTCCCAGGATGACTACCTGCCTCCTGGGCCACGTAGCATTTTGGCAGAGTCAGCAAGTAGTCTATCCAGCTGTTAGTCAGATGTAATGTTAACAAAATTAAGGTATTATGGCTTCTGTTACAAGTTATCTTAAGCAGGAGTAGTGTTTTCCCACACAAACAAGGCTGGAATATGAAACTGTGGAATCTCTTTGACAGCAGGAGTATTCGTTAGTCAAATTTCAAGAACCTGGCACTGAGTACTGTTCAGTTAATACCATTCAATGAAGCAGTTTTTAGTGGTTAGTTATTTTTATCACTGATAAAGTTCCTTAACCTTGATCTTAGGAAAAAAAAGCCCTTTACTACTGCACATAACAAATGTTATCAGCCTAAGGAAAACATCGAGTATTCTCAGTAAAGAAACCCATGACCAATTCTATCCTGAGTAGTGTCATGGTGATTTTACATATTTATACTGATGTTTAAGTCTCTGTGAAAAGATTTGTCTAAAGTATTGGGCTTATGTGAGGGCTAGGGGACACCAGAACTGAGGTTTACAAAGAACTCAGAAGACATGGTATGCCAACGCCCTGCATCCTTCTGGAAACTCGCTCCATAAATGTCTTGAGTTGCAAGATGATGAACATGCTCTGCACTGTAATGTACTGACAGCAGAGGAACGGGGAACCAGCCTCGTCTCAAGTGTCTGCTGCTTTTATATACTGGGGAGTGGCATTTATCTGACTAAATGTGAGATGACTAGAGAGACATTCTAGTGCCCGTTTCTAATGTAGAAGTCTAAAATAGCTCAGATGATTTGTGCCTGCTTCTCCTTTTTGACTATAAAAACAGCAGTGGGTGACTCGCTCAGATATAGATGTTTACACTGCAGATGTCTAAATGGATGTGAAATGAATTCCATCAGGGGTGCTTTAGCTCTCTTCTGTGCTCTGTTCTCACATTTAAGGTTGTCTCTCTCTCTTTTTCATATTTACTTTTTTTAGGCCATTCTTGACACCTGCTGGACAGCTGTTTCCTACTTTTAATGGCTGCTTTTCAACATCTGAGTTCCACATTTGCTTCATAACATCAATAACACACATTAAGACTTTTGGTAATGGATGTCTCTTTCCCATTTGAGAGTGACAAAAAGCTGTATTACCTGTTGCATGCACTTGACCAGATGCTGTTCTGGTGTGTAAGGTAGATGTCTCCAGTAAATTATATTGTTGCTCAGTTACAGGGAACTATAAGTTTGTGAATAACTCATGGTTTAGTTTGCCTGTTATATCAAAACAGAAAAGGAAAAGCTTTGGACATTAACCTGAAATAAGCTTATTTCAATTTTTTGAATAAACCAGAAATCATAACAACAGCAGCATTAATATGCATCAGTGTAAATATTACCAGTAATGAAACAGAATGGTGCATGTGTCACTGCTTGTAGCTGTCAGATGAGTTAGGCACAATGTTTCATGTGATCTGACAAAATTGTTTCATTTTTATAACAATTTTATTAGCCTTTGATTCCTTTTAAATAGGTCTGGCTCAGGCTTCGAAACAGAAGTAAAGTATACAAACAAGGTTCCATTGAGAGTGTCAGCACCTCTGAAAAAGTCTAAATTACTTGCATTCAAATGGCCAGATCTGAAATTGGAGGAGTAAATCAGGTGCCTATACATGGTTTTCTACTATCATTTTAGATGTCCTGCGGTATCCAGGACTGACATTCATGAACTTGGCTAGCAGGATACTCCTGTAGCAACTGCAGACCGGGAGGAACATCAGAGAAAGTCTAAAATTACACTAGACACCTATGATTAGGAACCTAGATTGTTCCCTAAATTTTTTACAACTGGGTGCCAATGTCTGAAGATTTTGCCTATAATACTCTCTTCCCAGTAATTTTGGAACTGTTAACACTTAAGCTGTGTGTATCTGCTTTGTTCAAATCTTGATTAATCAAATATGCTTTTGCTAGCACAACTTTTTGTTCCTCCTCCCTGTGGGCCATTTCGGCACTGATAAAAACTCACATTGCTTTTTTTGTTGACCTTCTTGGGATTTTGTTGATCCCAAAACTGATGTTAAACTTCTGGAAAGAATGTGGAAGAAACAGCAGAAGGAGTGATAGGACTAAAGTTAATAATTTCTCTCCCAGCAGAAAAAAAAGAGTGATTCAGAAATGAAGGATGGGCCACCGATGGATTTGACTAGCAAACGGAAAGAAGTCATTTGGATACTTAGCAATATCTTAAATGTGGTTTTTATGATGTATTATGCTACTCAGCTCACACCTTTGAGAATGCAATGATGTAGGCTCAAAGGGCTATTGCTAATGATTGCTCTGAGAATGAGCGGAGTTTGTGCTGAATCAGTTCCTGTAGCTGGGAATCTCCCAAGCAAGAGGAATAAACCCCATATTTAGATCAGAAAAGTCAGAATTGACAGCATAGTGATTGATGAGTTCCTAATGCCATTCTTACTGACAGTTTACAGAGTTTCAACTGCATGGCTTCTACTGGCTTGCATCCAACAATTCACCTTCGAATACAACGGAAACTTTAAATTCTTTTCCCCTGTCTCTTCTGTAACCTGCTTCCAAAAGTCTGTCTGCTTCTACAACCAAAAGCAGAACTCTTTTGTTTACCAGTGTCACTTACAAGGGCTCTGGACAGTG